CTCAGCATCGGCTCGAGGAATATATCCTGGTATTTTATGCACGCCGGTCCTAAAACAATTCATACCTTTATTTGTAAATCATATTCAAGTTACAATTCTTATAATGAAGTCTCTTTTGTCAACTGGTATAATATTTGAAATAGCCTGCAAATGAAGCCAATTACCTCCAAATTCGATGACGTCATCAAAGATGCAAATTGCCCACTGTCTGTCTGAGTACGCGCGTCCGGGCGCGAGCAGCTGTATGAGGTGCGGCAACAGCGAGTCGAGGTGCGGGAAGAAGTTCTCGCGGTAAGCGGACATGAGCGCGTGCAGCACGTCCGCCACGCGCGACAGCCCGTACACGTCCTCGTTGTCCTCGTCCGCGAGCTGCTCCTCCACCACCTGCAGCCACACAGTGTGGATATCATAATCTCATCTTACCCGTCATTTGATTTCATAAGAAGTTTTAAAAGAGAAATAATAACCTCATCATAATCTTCGTCAGCTCGTTTCTGGCGACGTTCGGTAGCACGTTTGAAATGTTCCGTGAGAAGTTTATTCAGGATGCGAAGCACTTCCTCCATGGTCTCTGTCGATAAGCACCCAGTTCCCAACAGCTCAATACACTGAAAAATAAATATATAAAACAATCAAAACATTCATTTCATACTTGACATTTTAAAGAAAGGACTAAAAGACTAGATGTTGACAATGGAAACAATGGTATTAATTTGTAATTGCTTACCTTAGCTAAACTATTAAGTAGTTCGACTTGCACCTCCTGTTCGGGTTCTGAATCTATGGCTTTCAAGAGCTCTGGCAGTATGTAGGCCCACATGCCCTGTAGGTATTGCGGGCCGCGGGTGCGCCCGCACTCTAGCAGGTAAGGCAGCGACTCCGCGGCGGCCGTGCGCACGTTGTCGTGGAAGTAGAATTTCAACATTGGCACCATTAGCTTCACTACTTCTTCAGCATAGTCTGCAAACTCTTCCTTCAATTCCCGAGCGTAGCACACCAGCATGTCACATGCGGATGCTTTATCTTCAAGACCTGGGAAATTATTTGTTTATTAAACAAATTTCTAGCAAATAGTAGCTCTAGCAAATTCTAGCAAATAGTTTCGAGCAATAGTTTCTAGCACAACAGCTATTTTGTAGTGCTTACCTGCAGTTTTGATGCCAAAGTTTTGTTGTTCTCCAAGAGTGACAAAATGCCAGTCGAGGTCACCTTCAATGATCTTGATTTCGTCGTTGTCAAGTAGAGCCACTTCAGGCTTCATTGCAGCCGTGCGAAGCACAGGCTCCATGACCATGGGTAGGTAACGTGCAAACTTCTTGCCTAATCACACAAAAAGTAATGAGTATTTTTTTTAAATAAATACACTAATCAGTTATTGTAAAAATTAATTACCCATAATTCTACAAATTCGCGACCAAGCGGAGATGAGGAACGATGTTTGCGGGTCATCAGGGGGCAGCTGTTCGCCCTCGGTGTGTGTCTTTAGCAAAAGATCCATTATTTCAGACGCGTCCGCCATAAATTTCTCTTCTCCCACAGCCAGACCTAAATTATAAAATCGTAAAAACTATATATTTTTAAGTCCATAGTCAGTCTTTATGAAATGTAAAAAGATTTAAGGCTGATCACAGATTGTAAAATGTAACTGCTGCTAATAAATTTTAGTACAAAAATGTTTCAAAATTACCAACTTACCGATAAGGCTGACACATTCAATAGTTTTTCCGCGCAGTGTCTTCAATTCATCAGTAGTTGCATTGGCAATGATGTATTTGAGGCAGGGCATCAAGCGGTCATAGTATTGCACAAAATCACTCTCCACAGTGTCAGCAACAGATGCGATAGTAGTCACTATCTGTTCCAACACAAGCTTTGTACCACGTTCCACCAACTGTCAAGAAATAAGTACAATATATTTAAGTATATTGAAACATAAGAAAATAATGTTATTTTAATTTTGTAATATCTCTGTATGTGAACTGAGATCCCTAACTTGCTAAAGAGCTAGAAAGGGAGCAAATGCCACAATTACTCTACCAATGCTATGGAAGTGACAAAAACTGTGTTTGAAAATTGTCACTAACGAACATTGGAAAATGAAGTCACTATCCTATGATGACCATAAAGAAATAAAAAAATAATGTCAGTAATGACAAAAAATGGGAATAAACATTACAATGTTTCAGATCATGTCTTGAACACAACATATTATTCAATATCATTCATTCAATTCTAAATACAGCATTAGGCAATTATAATTAACATACAATGACTTGCAATAACATTTTATGGCAATGGGTTTTTTAATATCCAATTGTTAAATTGATATCATACCTCTTTAAACTTGGTGGTCAAAATAATTTCAAGCTTGCCCATCAAAGGTCCCAGATATTGTGTCAATATTGGTTTTGGACAATCTTCACTGAAGTTTACCAAAGCCGCAGCAGCATGAGCCTAAAAATAAAATAAGAGAGTTACATTGAAAATTAAACTAAATCAACTTAAAAAACATCTAGATGTTCACTAAGTTACCTGTACACGAGGATTCTCACTATCGTCCAGCACTAACAGTAGACCAGGTACAACTTTGCTATGGAATTTCTTTTCGAAGTTTGGAGCAAAGTCAGTAGACATTTGTCCAATCGCATTACATGCGGCATAGCGCACTCGAGGATGCTGCAAATAAGAAACTAATGTCAAACAAGAAATTAAACGGATCAAACATTAGCATCTGTAGCTTTATGGAAAAAAATATTTTACAACATCCTCAACTTTGCATACTTACAGGATCAGTGAGATAAGTGAGAACAGCAGATACAACTTGGTCCAGCATCTGTTCCATTTGCTTATGGCATCCCTCGCCGGCCGAGGAGACCGCCATGAGGGCGGCGTGTCTCTTCCTCCAGTCTTCAGAGTTCAACATCTCAGGCACTTGCCCAACTATCAAGCCCAACATTATCTTTCCTCCTAGGCCACAACACATGCGGTCAAGTGCTGATTCCGCCGTCACATAGTTCCTACAATTTTACATACTCTTATAATTACATACTTAAAAATTGTATGAGTTAATGATAAACAACTTTTTTTTAAGTTCAAGACATGGTTTATAATAAAACTAAATGTTATGTAATTGAGGGACTGACATCTTAACTTATGATAAGTAAAGATGCTAATTATCTCAATATTATTCTTGTAAGATTTATTCTGTCCAAACTATTTGGGGATAGTTCGTCCAAATTAAATAAATCTTACTGGATTATGTTTCTATTAGATTTAAACATGTACTTATTACAATAATGTAATATTCATAGATACCTAGTACTGTGAGTTGGTTAACTTACAAGTCGTTGTCGTCGTCAGCGACGTCGTCCTGCACGGACCAGTCGGGCTCGTCGTCCAGTTCGCACATCATGCCGAGCACGAGCGGCGTCAGTCTGCGGATGGCGACGGGCACCTGCTTGCGCACCATCGCCGGCGCCG